AATGCCAATGTAACCAAGGCCTGTTAAGTTCTTTCATTACTAAAGCACCATTGACGTGCCCATCAAAAGGTCCCTTTCCGCGAGTCGGATCTTTGAGCGCATGCCAAGAATTTCCAAGCCACCACCATTCATTCTTGTTGTTTCGTTGGTAAAAATTGAAGGCGCGATGAGTTTTACTCCAAGCTGCCACTTGCAAAAATAATTCATCAGAATCCAGAACTGGTGAAGAAACGATAAAGATTAAGTCGGTTGGTTGCTTTTGATCTTTGTTAGTTTGACAAGTGATTATGAAACGAACTTGTCGATCGATGTCTTTAGTTTCTTCAGACCAGGAGATATGTGCACCATCGGCAACCATAAATGATTTTTGTTTCGTATCAGAGAGAGTACTATTCAGAAGATGTCGTAAGGTAAAGATTTTTTCAATGGGTAAATTGCTATCCCACAATTTGACCAACTTATTGCCAAAATGATCATCAAATATGTTCAAATCATCCTTAGTAACAGGAATTGGCTCCGAGTTCAGGCCAAGAACAAATCGAAAGAACCAATTTCCATCTTTCATATTTTTCGTCATTTCGGAAAAATGATTAACCGGACATCCACTATGTGCAACATTTCTCTTTTCATTGAACGTCGACAAGTGAGTATGAACCAGGATCGGCTTCGCGATAAATCGCCCAATATCAGAGACATCCAAAATAAACTCTTCACTATTAATTATTATTTTAAGTGAGCTGCCCTCGAAAGGAAGATTAATGATCTCGTTAAACTTTGCTCTATAGATTTGATACTCCAAGAGGCCCGTGAGGTTGTTGTTAAAGGAAGGACGTACACGCGTCTCCAACTCGACAGTGACCTTAATCGCGTTGACTCCGGCAAGACGTTCTCTTGCTATTGTAGGCACTTTGACCGAAAAGGAAGTACTGGTGTCAATTGATGGGAGCACGTCCCAAAAGAAGAGTTCGTCGCATGAGAAGTTATCTTTGTCGCTAAAGATTACAAACTTTAGTTTGGCATCAGCGACCCTTGAAAAGTTGTTATCAATATTTATTTGACCTGTAATAGCAGACATTATCCGTTTTTACTGTACATTTTAGAAGAAACCGAACTTTTTATAAAGGTTTAATATTCGGATCTGACAAATCAAAATAAATATTTAATATGGAAGTGTTTATCCATTTTTAATTTTTTTGATTCGCATGCTAGTTTAGCATGAGTATTTGCAGAATGGCTGAATAAATTAAAAAGAAGAAACCTTAATTCGTTTAAAAGTTACCTCTTTTATCAATTGTTTTTTTAAAGAAATCGTGAAGTTACCTTAAAAACTTCTTTGACTATTATGTACCTTCCTTTTATATCATAGTTTTTTTTTAATTATATTAGGTCTTGCTTTGTATTACAAAACCCTTCGATTTTTATCATTAAAAATTTCGTTTTCGATTTTTTAAAGTTAATCGGAATATCGTACATAAGGCCGTTCCTTTTGATCTGAAAAATATAAGGGAGGATATATTTAAATAATTATGTAATATCATTTGATGAATTTATTTTAACATTGAAACAAATTAAATTTATTCTATTTCAAAATTGATAAATAATTGATATTTTTAGTAATAATTTACTAATAAATTTTTTTAACGAATGTAAAATATTAATAAAAATTTTTAACTATTCATGGTTAATAAAGTTAAAAACTTTTTGAAACAGCATACAATAAATATTGGTTATTGTTATTATTAGGACGAAAATATGATATTTTGAGGAATTTTTAATAGATGCATATTAAAAAATTTCGAATTTGTTGCATTAAATCCATTAATTTCTTATATTTTTTTTTTATAAATTGGTTTATTGTAATTTTTAATCAGAATTATTTCTGTTCTCTTTCTATACCTGTAACAAATTTTATTATTTTATCTAATTGTCATACTAAAATTAATCTTAGAAAATTTCGCTCTTTTGACCTTTTTATTAGTTGACTTCTATATGTGGCTTCGCCCAAAAGCTTCAAAGCCCATAGGATCGACAACAATTATTTCAATATACCGTAGTGTAACTTTTACTGAGAAGATCGATTGATTTCGATTTATTCCAAGTTTTGTCAGAGGTATTATTATTTGCCAGTCAATTTTTTTTTTTTTAATATTCGCCAAACACGTTCATAGTCACCGTCAATTTATCAGCAATCGGAGTATAAGCTGACAATTTTTACGAAGCGACTCTTTTATTTGTGACTTTTCCAACTTTTTACTCTCGACTATTAAACATATACAGAGTATATGCATTCAATTCTAAAAGAAGGTATTGTGCAATTTTTCGGATGTTCGCTCGGTTCGCAAGATTCCCTCCACGTGAGCTTTTCAAACTTAAGCCGAAAATCAAATTCATTTGACGTTCACCGGAATTCTTTTTTCCTATGGATACAGATTCATCAACAGGGAAAAACCTTTTCCCGTTCCTTAAATAGGAAAGAAGTTCCTAAACGAAACTCTAATTTATTATAGCATCATAAGCCTCAAAAAGTTTATTTCATTTAAGGAAACTTTGGATTTTCTTCATTTTATTTATTATTCATATGTAGGAAGGGCTAAAATCAAAGTTTTTATCAAAAAAAAAAAAAAAAATTCTTGCACATGTAACAAAATTTATTTAAGTTGACATACCCATTATATAACAAGTGAAAATAATCTTTTATTGATTTCAAAGTCTCTCGGGTTTAAATAAATAAATAAATAAATAATTTCAACACCACGACGAGTAATATCATCTTAGGCGTTAACTTCAAACAATCAGGATTTAAGGCCCCACCATGATTGGCTCATCCAACATACTCGATGAACCGGGTACCCGCCCCGACCCGAATCTAAAATTATTAGATAACCTGGTAAATAGAAGCTGTTAAATTGATGGATAGGATTTACCGTTTTTACACAGATACGGTAAATCGAAAAACGAGAAAGATTACACGAAAGACAATCTAAAAAAATGCTTTGTTGGGGGGGCACATTATCGATTTCGTCAACATTTAATAGCCAAAGCAGAAGAAGAACATCTACGATGAGGCTTATACATCTAAGACTTGCAAGCTGGTATGGAATCATTCAAAAATTGGAGGGTCCGAGCCCGAATTGTAAAATGGCGTCCGGGGAATCTTTTCCGGGTATTGCTTGATGAAACCTTGATTCTCTCCGGAGATCATGCAGAAATAATAATTTTACTTTGGTATTAAAACCCATCCGAGGATTTGAATACATCTTTATGCATGTAGAAGAAATGCCTTTTAAGCTCTGCTACTTGTTTGATAAAAAGAAATTCCCAAGTAAATGAAAAGGAGAAAAAAAAAAGACCTTTTACTTTATTGAAATTCTTGCGCTTAATTTAAAAAAGTGAGTTTCAAGTTTTACCCTTAACGTTAAAACGCGAAATGACTTGCAATAATGCACAAAGGTATTATATTCGGGGATGGGATGCGCCGCCGCAGTAAAAGACATTTCGGAATATTGGATATGCACTGCAATGTATTACAAAATAAAGTAAAAGTTCTTTTAATAGAATCAACCCGAATTTTTTTTGTTACTCAAATATGGTTTCATTCGGAATTATATCTATATAAATACTTTACATACATGCTAAAAAAAAACTTGTTAATATATAGAAAGCATACAAATTTCGGGTCATGTATTGTTTTTTCTTTCTGTTACACGACACATATTACGGCATTTCGTAACTTAAACAAAATCACTTACATTAATCATTTGATGGTATGGTATGATAATAATACAACAATGGAAAGTTATTTATTTTTTGATATAAATAATTAATATAAATGGTTAATAAAATGGTCGATAATACTCTCAATATTTTGAATCATTCTTTTTCAATCCAACTTTTTCGAAAAAGAAAAAAAAAAGAAAAAGAAAAAAATAATAGAAAGAACATAATCGTAAGGAGTTGGAAAAGTTAACCTTTTCTTGTCAATAAAAAAAAAATGACAGTTTTATCATCAAATTTGTATTTTACCTTTCACGCATGGATTTCTTCACATTATACTCTCGACCACCAATCTTTACAAAATTTAATTCATTATTTAACACTCTTGCAAGAGCTTCATCGTAAGAGTTATGAATTCAATAAGGAATTCTATAATTCAATTCAAAAACACATTGATGGAATCATAAAATCCGAAAATGATCAAAGTAATGACGAAATTATTGAATATAAAAATGTTCAATTTAATGAATTATTGAAATTTGTTTTAATTGAAATAAAGGATCAAGCAGAATTTGGAGAGAAGTTGAGCATCGATAAGGAGAGGGAGAAGGATAAGAGAAAGGAGGGAGTTGTCGCGTTGGATGATGTAAAAGCCATTGAATTCGATGAGGATAAAACTTTGAGTTATTCTACGTTGAACTCATCGAAAAACCTTCCATTAACCGTAGTGAAACGATTTTATCCAAAAAGGGTTTTTGAATATTTAAATGGTTACGAAGATAATTTGTATAAATTGATCCTTAAAAAACAACTTGAAATTATTTACGAGGTAGGAGATTATTCACAAAATATAGAATCATTAAGGAACTTATTGGCAAAGGATGATCAATTCTCACAAAAAGACGCATCGTTATTCCTGATAATAATTTATTCAACTTATCAACTTTTAGAAAAGTTGGAAAAATTTGGTATCAAAACAAATATAGATTTAATATATAGTTTAGGAATTTTCATGAAGAGGATTAAATGTATTACTTTAGATTTGGTTAATCAAGAGGATTTGGTGGATGAAAATTATAAAATTAATTTAATTAAATTTTCATTATCTTCGGTGATTGTCATTTTTTTTCAATTATATTTCTTTAGTTTATTCTTAAATTCTTGCGTGGCATTTTAAAAGATGAGACATGATTATTTGTACATAAATTAAAAAAGGAAAGATGTTGTGTAGTGTAATAAAAAATTAAAAAAATAATAATAATAAAATAAATAAAATCATAGAGTTCCTATCCACTTATAAATCCCCTCAATAATATCACGATGCTTGAGCGAGCCTTTATAAATATTAAAATTCATTCCGTTAGATACTGCCCAAATTTCCTTCCAAATAGGATCAAATACTTCATCAAAATCATTTTCCAGAGGAAACCGTTGAACGGTAATCTTGATATTCATCGTAAATCCCAAACTTTTAATCACTCTCAAGAGAACATTCTGCAATTCATTAATCCTTGCTTCATTATTCACTTTTTTCACTTTCTTTCTTTCTAAATACTTTAGGGCATCGATTAATTTTAACAAGACGTCAATTTTAAAATAATTGATTTTTATGAATGGATCTTTGAGAACGTCATGGATTGGTTTAAATAATTCTATATTGATCCAATAAAGGTATTCGGGAGATGATAAAATCCCTTTTAATGTTTCATGTTTAAAAGATATTTTTTGATAAAATTTTATGGCTTTTTTTTGTTGTTTGGTACATTTGTAAGTTATTGATGATGACATTAATTGCTCGTACATTGGATGATAATTTGTTCGTGAAGACATTGGTATTGTACAAGAGTTGTTGAAATATAGGTATATTTAAGGACTTTGCTCGAATTATTCCCAAGCCTTAAAGAGGTAATTCCGGTTGGTCAGTGACACTGTCGATTTAAGAACTAATGATTAATTTATAAAGAAATTTTTTAAGTTGATTTCTTTTTTCTTTTACGATCAATTTCTAATCTGAGTAAATTGAAATTTTTTTGAATAATAAATTATTTTTATGATGCGTTACACTTTGAAGGATATAAATGGTTGAAACAAATAATTTTAACTATTAATGCTTAAAGAAAATTAAAGATATCGGAGGTATGTATGGATAGTTTGGCTATTAGGATTCCATCAAGATTTGTTTTTCGTAATCGATTGATTATCTCTAATTATTGTCTGTAATTATGACAATATTGAGATTCCGATTTCAATGCAAATCTGTTCCAATTAAAGTACCGGCGTTTTGTCAATCGAATAGTCTATGCCAGAAATGGGCATTAATAATAAACGTGTTTCATAACAGACAAGCGAAATTCAATTATTAAATTATAAAAGAATTGATTTTAAGTATAAATTTTCGTTCGCGTTTAAAATTAATAAATAATCAATTGACACTCACTCGTAACATTTAAATGTCTTTTAAAAATGCTTTTCTAAGTTAGGTGAGTTCTTGTAAACTTTTTTTTTTACTCATTAAAATGGATAAAGCTTAAAAATGATATACATCGATTGTGATTTTGATTGTGAGCTATAGAAATATTTTGATGATGATAGCGATAGTCAATCATTATAATAGGGATTAACATAGTACTAAATGTTTATTATTACTATAAGTTTTGTTTTTATATGGGAAGATTTCTAGGAAAAATCAGGTTCCTAAGAGCTTAATGCATTTTAATCTAATAACATCAAAAAAATCTCGGAGTCTGATTTTCCTAGCAATCAACCCATAATTTTGTAGTAACGATCAAAAAAAAAAAAAAATATAATGTAGGAAGTTTTTTATCACCTAATCGAATAAGATGACTATTTTGAAGTTGTTTTCATTTTCTCAAAAGTTATAAGATTGATGAGCTCAAAAAATATATAAAAGCGGAGCTAAAGGTTATGGGAAAGAAATACCCAATAAAATCAAATGCTAAATTAGGTAATTTACCATAATAGATGAACACTTAGAGGAGATCAAGTTGAGGATAATTCCTCTGAAGTTGCAAGAAAACCATATTATTGTTACTTTTGAACGAGTCAAAAAGTAAATCAAGGTACGTTCGATTTATACAAGTTAATTTATAAATTCACTCCTAACCTGAAAATTTTTCACCGTATGTATTTCAATTAAAATTCGCATGGGTTCTTAAATGATAGACCTTTAAAACCTCTTTACTAAATGATAATTGCCTGAGAGATGCGAAGGACTATATATTTTCTGTGCATTGAGTAAATTTTGGTCATGTGAGCGTTTGTCCGCCACGTGATTTCCGTCCAATAATTCGCTCAGGACTCACAACGGTTCCCTTTCCTAGTATATATAAGGCACGAAATTCTCGACGTTCTTGTCTATTTCACAAGGTACGACCCTAAAAAGTTGGAATTTAAAATTTCAAATGCTGTGTTCTTGTCAATTAAAGTCCAAAAGCTTGGAATGGTTGGCGATCTCAAGTTCACTCGTGATATTCTAAAAACCGAGGAATTGTTAAAGTATCTCTATACTGATTTTATGTTCCGTTAAAAAGCTATTCATGATGAATTGGAAGTAACCATGAGCAAGTTTGTAGTGTCAAGACTCAGAACATGACGTCCAGGGAAGTATGATCGAGGGCCGCCGAATTTCTTTTATATTAGGAGGAATAATTGTCTGCGTGGAAATGAAAACTTTGATAAAATCGTGGCGCGGACCACTATGCAACTTCTTTGTTCAGTTGAGGCAAGTACCCTTAGCAACTTACGAATTATCATTGATATCATTGAATTGTATTTTATCGAGTGCGAAATCGGCTAAGAAATGTACAATGTGATTGATACAGTCCCCGGCGAAAGTAATAGCGGTGGGAGTGTTACATGTTATTTTGATTTAAATTAAAATTTAATTTATAATATCAAATGGGCCTTTACTACTTTAAAAATAATAAAAAAATAATATTGTTTTATGCTCATTTTACCTTCTAAATTACTAAGTAGTTTTAAATTTATTATAAATCGGAAATTGCTATGAATTTTCTTAAAATGCTCAAAATTCTAATGATTTATTTACATAATAAAATAATCATACAATTATAAAATAAACTTTTGTACTTGATTTTCTCAACAACCTATGTTCATTTTGTTTTTAAAAATGAGTAACTTTTCATATAGACGGTAATTAATTTTTTAACCAATTTTTATTAAGAGCAAAAAAAAAAGAAAAAAATTGAATATGTTCATGCAGACTCATGCATTTACGCCGAGCCGATTATGTATTCCACAATCATTTTAATGTATGAGGAGGAAGATCCTTTCAAAATGAAAATAATTATAAATATCTTATATCGTCGCATCCTTCTGGAAATACTCAAAAAAAAAAATTCATCGAGAAATACCGCAATTTGCAAATGCGAGGACGATCAAATGGTTTTTTTTTTTTTACTGCGTATTGGAAAAGTATAAAATACAGTATATAAAAGGTACTTACCCCCATTTGGATTTAAATTAACTCCAATCAAATCACAATACGCAGTAAATCTTCCTATGTCATAATTGATTATTTACAAACTTCTTTATACAGCTGCTCCTAAAAGATTGTGACTTTAACTCTCAAGACTTTAAGGTTCATATTGGAGAGCCTCATCAAAGATTTGGGCATTAAATACCTTGACCCTCAATACTATAATGTTCGTTCTGAAATTGGCTCTGGAGGTTTTGCCTCGGTTCATGCTGCATCTTGGAAAGGTACTCCAACAACATATGCAATTAAAAAGTTTGCCAAAAGATCTACGGATGAAATGATTTTACACGAGGTTCGAATATTATTGGTGTAATTTATTTTATATAGTACATAGTTATTGAAATTATTTTATTTTCTAGATTATTATAATGGGAATGATGAAATTGTTGGATTTTCATCCTAATATAATTAAATTATGCGGTATCACGAAATTGAAAGGTAAAATAATAAATTTTTAATTATTAATTTTATTTTTAGTATTTATATGTATATTTTTTTATTCCTTAGGTGGATCAAATTATTCGCTAGTTCTTGAATACGCAGACGGTGGAACATTAGGAAAATATTTAAGGGACAACGCGTCGACTTTTAAATGGGAAAGTCAATTGAAATTCGCTAGTGAAATTGCAAGTGCGATCCTTTGGTTACATGATAATGACATTATACATCGAGATCTCGTAAGTTATTAATTATTATTTTATACCGTTAATTGTATATATTATTAATGATTAATTTTAATGTTAATTTTTTTTTATTTTAGCATTCTAATAATATCTTAATCCACCAACGTGCGATTAAATTAGCAGATTTTGGACTTTCATGTCTAGGCTCAGATTTCCGTCCTAAAGCAAAATGTGGTGTAATACCTTATGTGGACCCTAAAATTTTGGAAGATCATTCACATTATGTAACCAACAAATCTGATATTTATAGCTTAGGAGTCTTATTGTGGGAATTAACGAGTTGTTCATCGCCTTTTAATTTTGAATCGACAAACGATCGTAATTGTATTTGTTCATACATCCTTGAAGGTGGTAGGGAAGTTCCTATTCCAAATACAAATGATAAATTTGTTGAGATTTATCAACGTAAGTGTCTAATTATGGTATTAATTGTTTAGGATTATTTTACTATTATAGTCTAATCTTATTTAATTAGAATGTTGGAAGCATGATCCAGATGAACGGCCAGATATTAATCAAGTAATTTCAAAACTTAATAGTATTAATCCCGAAAATACTTTTGTAACGGAAGAATTAGAAACTGTTGACGACTTTGCAGATTGTGACGTGTCAAAATATTATTAGATTGTCAAATTAAATAATTTAAAATAAATAAATAAATAACGTTAAATGTTGAATTTCTTATTTCGTTGTTTTATGGTCCAACTCTTACCGTGCCACAAAAGATTTAATTACATAAATTCTTGTCCATTTAATTCAAAGTATTGCAAATTATGAAGTAGATGTTAATTATTATCGCATCGCGTTTTCAAAATCCCGATATGATGATTAAACTTTAAAAGCCAATCTTTCCGTCACTTCGTCACCAACGTGATTCTAAATCAGAAGACCAATTTTTTATAGTTCCCTAATAGTAAGTAATAGGTAGATAAATATTTTGATTAATACCCGGGTACTAATCAAATTTTATAACAGATTTATTATTAAATTTCATACGCTAAAAAATTATTTTATTACTAATTATCCCATTCATTATCTTTATCATCATAATAATTGTCATTAATTACTATTGTCTAACGCTAAATTAAATTTTTTTTTTTAGGTCTAAATCTCGATCTTCTATTTTGTTTATATAAAATACTTTCAGATCTCGATATTCTATTTTGTTCAGCTGTTAACCTAAATAATGACTTGATTGGTGAAATGTCTATAACGAACATGGCTGTTATGCTATAAAATACCCAAATTAATTTCTGTCAGATATGTTACGAACATTAAAACTTCTGATACCTTAAATTCAGCTAATTTTAAAAGTTAAGACTATATATACTAGTTCTATATAAGTGAATTATTTTTATCTAAATAGAATTACTATCATAAATTTGCATATTTTGATGGATCAAGAAAGTATCACCTGATGGATCAAGAACAATACATTTGTCATTCTCCTAGTGAAAAACCATTTTAGAAAATCCAGCATACAGTTAGAGCTAAGGTTAAAAATAAAATATACTTTTCCGTAATTATTTAATTATTTTAATTATTTTATTTTAAAAAAAAATTATTATTATTATTACTTTTTTTAGTAGATCCAAATGTTATTTTTTTTCTTATTCTTTTATTTTAAT